ACCAGTAACTGTAAAAAAAAAAAAAAAAAGTCCACTGAAGGAGGCATTGCTGTTATATGTTATGTTGTCTGCATGTCTGCTGTAAGCAGTGAAGCCCCACATATATGGCTGAGGTTTTTGTTGTTTGTTGTTTAAAGGAAAGAAAGCCAACTATAAAATTTAAATGTTGTAGAAAAAGAACTGCTATTGACCAAGGGAAAGTATTTAAGCTAATAAGGAAATACCCGATGCCTATGAGACTATGAACATTCCAGGAGGATGAATTCTAAAGCTAAGGTTGGCAGTGGTCTCATTGATATGAAACCAAAAGCACAGACAACAAAAAATAAACAAGACTATATCAAACCAAAAAGTTCTGTACAGTAAAGGAAACAATCAACAGAGTGAAAAGGCAAGCTACAGAACGGGTTAAATATTTGCGAACTATATATTTGGTAAGGGGTTAATCTGCAAAACATTTAAGAAACTCCTACAACTCAACAGTAAAAACACTAATAACCAGCCGGGCGTGGTGGCTGATGCCTGTAATCCCAGCACTTTGGGAGGCCAAGGTGGGCGGATCACGAGGTCAAGAGATCGAGACCATCCTGGCGAACATGGTGAAACCTCATCTCTACTGAAAATACAAGAGTTAGCTGGGTGTGGTGGTGTGCGCCTGTTGTCCCAGCTACTCGGGAGGCTGAGGCAGGAGAATTGCTTGTACCTGGGAGGCAGAGGTTGCAATGAGCCGAGATCGCACCATTGCACTCCAGCCTGGCACCTGGCGACAGAGTGAGACTGTCTCGAAAACAAACAAAAAACACTAATAACAATGTAAAAATAGGCTAAAGACTTGAATAGACATTTCTCTATTCATAGAAATGGCCAACGGGAGTATGAAAAGTTGCTTAACATCTCTAGTCATCAGGAAAATACAAATCAAAACCACAATGACATATCACCTCACACCTGTCAGGATGGCTGTTATCCAAAAGACAAAAGACAACAGGTGTTGGCAGGGCTGTGGAGAAATGGGAAGGAGTGCAAAATGGCACACCAGCTCTGCAAAATAGTATAGGGGTTCCTCAAAAAATTAAAAATAGAGGCCAGGTGCAGTGGCTCATACCTGTAATGCAGCACTTTGGGAGGCTAAGATGCACAGACTGCTTGAGCCCAGGACTTTGAGAAGAGCCTGGGCAACACGGCAAGACTGCTATCTCTACAAAAAATATAAAAAATTAGCCAGGCATGGTGGCACATGCCTGTGGTCCCAGCTACTCGGGAGGCTGAGGTGGGAGAATCACTTGAGCCTGGGAGGTGGAAGTTGCAGTGAGCCTAGATTATGCCACTGCACTCCAGCCTGGGCAACAGAGTAAGACCCTGTCTCAAAAAAATTAATAAAAATTAAACTATCATATGATCTAGCAATCCTACTTCTGGCTATTATCCTGAAGATTTAAATCAAGATCTCAAAAAGATGTGAGCACTCCCATGTTCACGGAAGCATTATTTACAATAGCCAAGATGTGGAAACAACTTAAATGTTCACTGACAGATGAATATGTAAAGAAAACATGGTATATACCATGGTGGAACATTATTTATACTTTTTTTAAATAAAAAAGAGCATTTTACAATATGTGACAATGTGGATGAACACTAAGGACAATATGCTAAGGGAAATAAATGGGCACAAAATTTTATTTAAGCAAGATGAGTAAGCACTGAAGATCCACTGTACAATACTGTACACATAGTCAACAATAATGTGTTGTTGACTTAAAAATTTGTTGGGCCAAGCGTGGTGGCTGACACTTCTAATTTCAGCACGTTGGGAGGCTGAGGCAAGCGGATCACTTGAGCCCAGGAGTTCGAGACCAGCCTGGGCAACATGGTGAAACCCTGACTCCACAAAAATTAGCTGGCTGTGATGGTGCACACCTGTAGTCCCAGCTACTTAGGAAGCTGAGCTGGGAGGACTTCTTGAGCCTGAGAGGCAGAAGTTGCAGTGAGCCGTGATTGCACCACTGCCCTCCAGCCTGGGCAACAGAGCAGACCCTGTCTCCAAAAAAAAAAAAAAAAAAAAAAAAAAAAAAATCTAGTTAAAGGGTAGATCTCATGTCAAATGTTCTTACCACAATAAAATAAAAATCATTTTTTAAAAAAGTTCAGGGAGCTCACTTTAAAAAAAAAAAACTAGTTAAAGGGTAGATCTCATGTCAAATGTTCTTACCACAATAAAATAAAAAACATTTTTAAAAAAAGTTCAGAGAGCTCATTTAAAAAAAAAAAAAATCTAGTTAAAGGGTAGATCTCATGTCAAATGTTCTTACCACAATAAAATAAAAATCATTTTTAAAACAAGTTCAGGGAGCTCACTTTTATCCCAGGGCTACATAAGTATGGAGGGATCAAGGCGGTATCAAGGGAGAGAAATCACTAACAAGAAGGGGTCTGGCCTAAATACAGCCTTCTGTTCCTCTTCCTTTAATGCAGGAAGAGGGATCAGGTGGCAAGATGTCAAGCTGAATTGCCAAGGTCAAGTGGAAAATGTGACTGGCTGGGGCTGAGAAAACTGGCCTAAGGCAGTGGAGACTGAGTTTTGCAGTAGCAGCAAGAAGAGGAACTCCCCAGTTATTGCCAGGGTTCCAGGCAGAGGTACAGAGAAGGCAGTGTTCCTACCAGAGCTCTCCAACTAGTCCCTAGGTATCCAGGTCATCAGGTGACCCTCATCCTAATTCATTCTGTAATTATGTTCTCTATGCGCCTGATGATCCGAATCTATTACCATCACCACTACTCCCAACCCTCAATCCAAATAATCACTATAGTCACCCCAGATAGATACTGATCCCGAAGCAGCAAATGACATGAAGTTGGAAATGACTGATTGTGTCATAATTGGGTATAGAGGTATAGACCAGGGAACCACAGAGGACAGTGCAGGAAACTGCCCTTTCATCTTTTGTGCCACCGTTTTCCTATGTTTCCTGCACCCTGCATCTCACCTTTCAGGTAGAAGCCTCATGCCTGCTGTGCAGAGGATGTAAAGGGGGGTCTCCTTGTGCTTCTTCACAGGCACATGAGCAGCAGCAAAGCTCAGCAGAGGACGAAGGTAATCACTGGCATGTTCTGGAGTGTCTGCCATTGCAGAGATTCCTTGAGTTTAAACAAAAACAAAAACAAAAAAACAACTTTCTTTAAAAAGCAGACCACATAAGACTCAGGAAACTGATACCCTATTAGGGTCTCCTTAAGGTCCTAAACATTTACTTGAGAGGTAGGGGGTGACAATGAATGAAATATCCCTCCCATTACCCAGACTCTCAAGAAAATAAGGGTAGCTTGCTTTCTCCTTTTTCTCTTTCCTCTTTCATGTCTTAAAAGAGATTGACAACAAAATATATTCTAATTAGTACCTGGCTTGATTTTTTTAACAACTGGTTGGCTGTTGCGGTCTCTCATCTGTTTGATGTCCAGCAAGTCATGGGGGTTCCCATTATGTCGTGGCCAGAAATAAACAAAAATCCGGGAACCACTGCTGCCACAGTCAACAACGAGTCCATAATTCAGATTTGGGTCTTCAGTGTCAGTAGCTTCAAGCTCCCCTACTCGAGCTAAATACCTAAGTTAGGCAAAAAGAGAAATCAGTACTAAGCAGTCAGCTCCATGAAAGTCATCCTCACTTACTTCATCTGTTCATGAATCTTCATTAAGTGCCTGCATGTGCCAAGCACATGAGACTACCAGTCCTAACTAATGAATGAAGTAATACTGACATATTTACTGATGTGTCTGAAACAGCTGGTTCGCTTGCCTAGAGGTCACTGAAATTAGATGACTGAAACATGTCCCTAAGTGTGGGGGCAGCTCTGAAACTGGCTGAGGTAGCAATCTTTCTTCAAGCATTAGAGCTTGTAGGCCTGAATAACTGGTTTTTGTTATATGCCACAAAGTTTTGGGGTAGCTTGTTATGCCCACTAGATAACTGAGACAATCTTAATCACTTCTTTCTATCTTTCCTTTCTGTATAGCTGCATCCAGAATATTGTGGAATGACAGAATGATTTCTCATTGAATGTGTTTCTGGGTGGGGTTTTTTTTTTTTTTTTTTTTTTTTTTTTTTT